TGTCTTTCTTTAGGCTACCTCTTTCTCCCCCACGGTAGGTATTTTATCACGTATTTCTCTCACCTCTATCTCTCTCTCTCATCCTCCCCTTCTGTAGAGACCCCTCTTCTGCCTGCCCCCCCCCCCCTCTTCCCCTTCCTCTTCCCCTTCCTTTCCTCTCCTTATGCATGTTCCTTTCCAGAATCCCGAGCTAGTTTTTTTCATTTTATTTCCTCAATTTCCTTAATGTCATCCTTCTTTTGATCAAGGTCTTGACTCCTCTATAGCTTCTGTCTTGCCCCTAAATGCAGCATTACTCAATCTTTTACCGGAACTCATGCTTGGAATAATAATATTGTAACACAGACACACACAGACACACACAGACATACACAGACATCGAGACATACATACACAGACTGAATTGGCTTCCATTGAAAGTATCTTCCCAGTAATTTTGGTCTCGTTACCCCTCCGTCACCCTCTTGCCCCTTAAATTTTGACAAGACCCCTTTCACCACTGCTTTCAACCACCCCTTTGTACCCCCTAATATGTGCCCCCTTCCCCCCACAACAATTTGGCCACGTCACCACCTATAACCCCTCCCACAACCATTAATGTCGATCTGACTGCCCGTTACATTTAACCTTAACCAACACTAACTTTGACTCTACCCACGTTGACTCTACCCACCCTGACTCTACCCACCCTGACTCTACCCACACTGACTCTACCCACCCTGACTCTACCCACACTGACTGCCATCACAACTAGGCCAACTTATAATCTCTTACACAAATTTCTGGGCTGAGTTTGAAGGTAAGTGCCTATGTATACACCTGTTATATGCATATACATGATTTTCTCTGGACAACTGTATGTATATGCCATTTATTCGCTATCATACACAGATGTTGTAAAGACTGTACGGTGGCTGTTGTGCATGACTTGTACGCTTCGTTTCCTCTTGAGAATTATCTGTTGACCTCTCTCCCTGTTGAACCCGACCGTATTTTGACCAATATGACACTTGACCTCATGTTGCTTGACCGTCTTGTCACCCTTGACCTTGTATTCTCTCTAAATTTAGCCATCTTTGACCCTATATACTCTTCGTCAGGGCCATCTTTGACCCTATATATTCTCTGCCAGGGCATTCTTTGACTGTATTCTTTGACCATCTACGGTAATAATTGACCCGGTATTCTCTAAAGGTTATATGCAACAATTATATAATATACTTGTGGTTATATGGAATAATATATTCTAACACTCGGAGTTTGAGAACTAGGCTTTGGTTAGTGATATTTTGATTCAAATTTAAATTCAAAAATTCACCGGCGGTTTGTCAAGAAACGCAATCGTTATATCATTGCCCAAAGGACACACCTTCGAGTCTGTTTGAGCTATTATAAAGGGCAAGATATCAAAATATCTTTCTTCCCTTTGATCTTGCCAGTTGATAAATCCATATTGTAATTAGTAAAGTATAACTTTGGTTTAGGTTATCCGGCTCTGATTACTCTGATTACGGCTCTGGGTTCAGATCTACATATTTTCCAAACGGTTGCATATGACCTTTAACTATGTAGGGCAACCTTTGACCCTATTGACTGTAACCATCTAGGGTCATATACATTGTTTCTTGACCCTTTTTCCCCCCCTCTTTAACGACGTGTATATTGTGCCTGGAACGTTTATATGGGTTGAAGTTGCGTATGAAACTACTATTGTACCAACACCTGTCTGAGCCCTTCCCTTATTGTGTGTACCAACACCTGAGCCTTCCCTTATTGTGTGTACCAACACCTGAGCCTTCCCTTATTGTGTGTACCAACACCTGAGCCCTTCCCTTAATGTGTGTACCAACACCTGAGCCCTTCCCTTATTGTGTGTACCAACACCTGAGCCTTCCCTTATTGTGTGTACCAACACCTGAGCCTTCCCTTAATGTGTGTACCAACACCTGTCTAAGCATTCCCTTAATGTGTGTACCAACACCTGAGCCTTCCCTTAATATGTATACCAACACCTGTGACTTACTGTGACAGGGGCCACTGTGACTTATAGCAGAATACTGTGACTAACAGTCTTCTGCGACTGTGACAGAGGCTACGGTAACCTAGGCTATAATATGACTGTGATAGTCATATAGATACTGTGACTGACAGGGGGGATACGATACTGTGATAGGCAGCCATGACTGGGTACTATGACAGTCTACTGTCACGGTGAAAAACTGTTACTTCAGTTCAGAGCTGTAACTGACTGTGGATTCGTGTGACGGTGCAGTCAACGGTACTGAAGAATGGTATAAAGGACACTACTGTGATTCACAGTTGTGGGCGCTAGTGTGACTTAAGAGAGTAGCATCCCAACATACTATGTGGGAGGCTACTGTTAATATATGTGGGGGATTACTGTGAAGGTGGGACACTGCTCTGACTTACTGTGTGCACCTGTTGCTGCTTTGACTGTGTAATGCTATTATGGATCACCGTGACACTACTGTGGCTAGTCTTGTTGGACGCTGCTGGGCTTTACTGTGAATGGTAATTTGACACTAAGATATTACTGTGACACATTATGCCTGACGGAACTGTGATGTTCATGGCGTTACTGTGACCGTTTCTGACACTGATAACGGTGTAGGAACGTTGTGACTATGTTCCTCTGCCCACTCCTCCCCCCCCCCCCTTGTGTGTGTGTGTGTGTGTGTGTGTCAGCTACTGCCAATCCTACACACGCATATATATACATTCCTCACTTATATAAACAGTTTTTATTGACATTTTATGTGGGTTAGAGACCTTTAATTACCTGGGCCTGTGATGGGAAGGTATGGTGTGGGTGGTGGTGGATGGTGGTGGTTGTGGTGGATGGTGGTGGTTGTGGAGAGCATTGTGGTGATTGGTGATGAGTTTGGTGATGATTGAGGCAGCTGTCAGGGTCCTGGTGCTTGAAGAAGCTTTAAGCTCTATGCAGAGGTATTCCCTAGGAATTGGCAGTGTATAATCTCACAAAGAGGGTTACCCTTAGAAAATAGTCAAATGACATTGTCACAATTGACCTTAGGCTATAGAAGTAATCATGTCGGAAGACCTTACTTTTTAAAGAACATAATAAAGTGGCTGTCATGATTGCAAGAAAAATGACAGGTTGGATGACAAGGTGCCTTTCGAACAAGGAAGGCCATGCCATTAATACTTTTACCTTCACTTTTCAAGACACTGCTCTCTAGGGTGGAATATTGCTACACATTAACAGCCACATTCAAAGCAGAGATCCTTCAAGCAGAAATAAGGATCCAGAGATCCTTAATCTACTCTATACAACATACAAATTATTGGGACCAATTAAAGGTTATGAATCTGTATTCTCTAAGGGTGCAGACGAAAATTTACACGTGGGAAAATGTTAGTGACTGATGACTGGTTAGTGACTGAATCTGCACATGGAAACCAGGAGGCATGGCAGGATGTGCAAAATAATCCAATTGAAATTCAGAAATGCAATAGGTATGCTGAGAGAGAATTCTATTAACATCAAAGGCCCAAGAACTTTCAACACTCTCCTGCCACATGTAAGAGGCATAACTGGCCGACTTCTCAGTGTTCAAGAGAGAACTCGATAAACACACCTAAAAAGATTCTTGATAAACCAGGCTGTGATTCATACATGAGGCTGCTAGCAGCCATGTCCAACATTCTGGTTGACTAGACCACAAAGCCTTATCCTGATCCCTTCAAAGTACTATATAATTGTAATGGCTTGGCACTTCCTCCTAATAGTTTCCTTCCTTCGTGTATTTCCATGACCCGAAGAGTGGGTTCATTTTATATAGTCTTGGAATATGACTGCATTACCACTCACTGGACAGTGTGCACAATAAAAGGCTTCTCTGTACACCATTAAGCTTTAATATACATATGTAATTACCTAAGTGTAATTACCTAAGTGTAGTTACAGGATGAGAGCTACCCTCGTGGTGTCCCATCTTCCCAGCACTCTGTCATATAACGCTTTGAAATTACTAATGGTTTTGGCCTCCACCACCTCATCAGTTCATTAGTACAGATGTACGTAACTATGTACGTACATCTAATCTAATTCCACATAACGTAGACATCTAGTATGTGTTGGCAGTGTTTGGTGTGATATATGAACCGTGTGCATGATAGTCATTCCCCGAGTGAACAAGTATGATTCCCCGTGACATCCCCCAAGTGAACAAGTGTGATTCCCTGTGACATCCCCCAAGTGAACAAGTGTGATTCCCTGTGACATCACCCAAGTGAACAAGTGTGATTCCCTGTGACATCCCCCAAGTGAACAAGTGTGATTCCCTGTGACAACATCCCCCGAGTGAACAAGTGTGATTCCGCGTGACAACATTCCCCAAGTGAACAAATGTGATTTCCTGTGACACCATGACAATTCTCTTCTCTTACCACCTGTTTTAGGCCTCTTCACTGCTCATATATAGTATACAGCTGCCCAGAAACATTATATTTTATATGTTCTGTTGATATGTTTGGTGAGCAGTGTAACAATAAAGGCTGTTAGTTATAAAATCATGTTTCACCCACTTGGCAGCCAGCCTCTTGTGTGACCCACTCAGTCTATGTCTGGTCTTCAGGTACCAGTGGCCAGGTCTGTAAGAACAAGAGTTTAAGTAGAGTACGGTAGAGTAGTGTTCAGCTGATGTAGTGTGTATCATACTGTCATTACAAATTAAGGATAATCAGCATGATAACAAAAATAAAATGCAACCTTTAAATGACAGGAAAATTACTTGTTACTTATTCTCCCAGTTTTTAAGCTGTTCACCTGGATTGAGAGCTACAAAAGGTACTTATGATTTCATTGGGTGAGACTTAGCGTTAACACTTGAAGGAATAGTCACTGCATTACGATAATGCTATCCGCTTACAATAAACATGTTGGTGTTATGGTAGTCATGTCTTGTACTGTGTAGGAACCCATCACTAACCATAAACACTTTGTTGTTGTCTTCCAGGGTCTAACCTGCTTCCTGTGCTATGCCATCTTTGCGGCAGTGCTCGGCATGTTCCAGTTTGGCTACAATACTGGCGTCATCAATGCTCCTCAGTCTGTTATTGAGAATTTTATCGGTGACTGCTGGAAGGAGCGCTACAATAAAAATATAGAAGGCAGCAAGCAAGACTTACTATGGTCCATTGCTGTGTCTATATTTGCCATTGGCGGAATGATTGGTGGTTTCTGTGGCGGTTCCGTAGGAAATAAATTTGGGAGGTAAGCTATCATGTGTGTGTGTAATAAGATTTACATGTCTCAGACATGTAGCTTAGAAGGGAATTTTAAGCTAATACTGAATAATAGTTTTGTTGAGTGTAAGAATATTGATTACAATTTATCAGTACTGTAATTTGTTAGTCTTTGATGACACTGTTATATTGTAATACTGGGGGTACTTTACACACTTCATGAATTATATAGGCATCGGACTGTTCTTGAATTTAATGTTGTTATTGACAAATATTTCCTTATTACAGAAAGAAGGGGTTACTCTTGAACAACCTTCTTGGAGTCGGTGGCGCCTGCCTCATGGCCTTCTCACAGATGTCCTACTCCTATGAAATGCTCATCCTAGGTAGATTGGTCATTGGCATTAACTGTGGTAAGTAACAGGGCATCCATAGATTATTGAGTACATTGTAATTATGTCTGAAAATGTGTGAAAATAATGTTGTTTATTTGTAAGAGAGACCCCAAGGCTACCAACGAAGATCCAAAGATTTTCTCGACCAAGCAACCAGTGGCACCTGTGTTCTGTGGGTTGGCTTCTCAACCTTATCTGATATTCTGTAATAGCTTGCAGTTAATTATCACAAAACAAGCCTGGGAGGTACTTTACACCTCATCAAAGCTTTTAAAATGCTGAAGAATTTGGAGGCTATTGATCCACACCACTTCTTCAAAAGGTCAGATGTAACATGAACAAGGAGCAATGGTTTCAAGCTCAACAAGCTCAATGCAAGACAGAAAACAGGAGATGCTTTGTCACTCATAGTTATAAACTCATGGAACTGACTACCTGCTGAAACCATAAATGCCAAAATGCTGCTATATTTAAAAATTCAGCTCGATAATATCAAAACAAATGAGGGTGGGCTAGGCTTTTGAGAAGCTGCCGGCTTCCTATCCATGTCAAGGCCACTAGAGAGATTGTGAATTTGAATTTTATGAAAATTTCCTTAGGGTAGTCTTTTTGGGATCGGTCGAGTCTGTTCACTTTATTAACTTGTATGAAGATATTCTAAGCAAAGCACAGGAACGTAGTATACCATACTAATTGAATAGATTGAATAATAATGACCCAATATGGATAACAAATGATCTGAAGAACCTTGTAGGTGGAAAGAGAGCTTGGTATAAAAGGATTAAGAAAGGGGAAGTCAGTTTAGAACAAGAATTCGTCCAACTGGTTATAAACTAAATTTAGTATTATATGACAGTATTTGTATTATATTTAGAAATATAATTGGACAACTGGACAGTATTATATTTAGAAATATCACACTATCTACTTAATTATTAATCTTCTACACAAGAACGTGATTTATCTAAGAAAACATTGAGGCTGTACAATGGGATCGAACAGACATCCGTGAATTCCTCAGGCGAATACACTGCTAACTGGACCACAGTAAGCCCTTCATGGACCAGCCCATAGTGCATATGCCTAAGGAGTTTAGGGACTAGGGTTACCTTGAGATGATTTTGGGGCTTAGCGTCCCCGCGGCCCAATTGTCGGCATATCTTAAATTTTCTCATTATTCACCTACATAAGTAAGAATAATTATTCTTTAATTCCACAATGCCAGTAATATCCTGTCTTCCTGCATCTTAAACTATCTTAATATTATCTATTGATTTACAAATTTATTGATTGTGCTGCCAACTTAAATTCTATTTCTACCAACAGGTCTGAACACATCTTTAGTGCCTATGTACATCAGTGAGATAGCCCCGCTCAACCTTCGAGGTGGTCTGGGTACTGTTAACCAGCTAGCAGTCACTGTTGGCCTGCTCCTATCCCAGATTCTCGGCATTGAACAACTTCTTGGGAACAGCAATGCATGGCCAATCCTCCTGGGTATTTTATTTTGTTTAACGTATTTCAATTCTGATTTTTTAATCCATTCAAGGATGCACCCAAATCTGTCTTAATTTTCATAAAAAAAAGGTGGGGTGGAAATTTGAAATTTAGGATAAAAAAAGGCAGAAAATTTGAATTTTATGGATCTTTGTGGTTATGATGTATATTGTACATTTTTCAGTACAGTACTATAATCGCCAATTTTGGTTACATCCTTGAGTCAGTGGTAATTTAGTAAAGCTTCCTTTTTGCTTGTGCTTAGCCTAATTAATGTTTCATACTGATATGTTAACTAAATATACCATAAACCTATCTGTACTTTTTAGGTTTCAGTTAATTACCTTATTTGTTGTATGTCCATTCATAGCTGTTGTAGTCTAGTGTCACAGAACCTCCAAGTTTCTCTCCTTACATTAGATGGCTTTGTTTAGTTCAATGTCAAAAATCCAGAAAGTTGACAACTAAGCGAGTTTTGGGTTTACCGCATAAATATTCTGGATTTTGGATATCTTGATGTTCGACAAAGGTTATTGATGTTGAGCTGTCACTAGATAAAAGTTAGTGACACTGATCCAATGTCAAATCAATATTACTGATACTAGATTAACATTATTGATGTTGACATGACATTAGATCAACAATAGCAATATTGGCTCATTATTGACACTGGTTTCCAGATTTATTTTTTCTGAATAATATGTAATACAATCAATCATTTTTAAATTGTTATGGATTCTAGTTTCCAGTTTTTGTGAAAGGTCTTTTTTTTTTTGCACCCCCTACTGTATGTTCTTAGCTAATAAAGAGCTTTTAGTAAAGCTTAGGGTATAGCTGAGCAGGACTCCTGTGGCCTTACTCTCTAATAATACTGTTAAGTGTGCATCAGGTGGTCTATAAAACTTTCAAGAATAACTAGACATTTAGCACTGAAACATAATGAAACATAAATATATTCTACATTGAATTACATTGATGAGCAGTATGTTGACCAGACCACACACACACACTAGGTGAAGGGACGGCGACGTTTCGGTCTGTCCTCGACAATTCTTAAGTCCATTGTCGACTTGAGAATGATGATGAGCAGTAATTTATAAGAGAGCCACAAGCAGGTCTGGGGGGGTTAGCTGTGAAGCTGCAGGCACTGCTGACGAGGCTAATGTTCTCCACTTGAGGTGTGAAGACCTAGTGTCCCTGGCCTTGTCCTTGTATTGCCGAGATGAGGATTAGCTCGAGGTGACCAACTAAAATTATCCCATAACCAAGTTGGCCATCTCTCATACCAGTAAAGGCTCAGTGCCACAGGATTCAAAATTCTGCAAATAAGACATGATGGGGATCTTGCCAAAATCTTTAAAATGCTAAATGAATTGGAAGACATTAATCTAGACCACTTTTTTAAGAGGTCCAATGTATTTCACACCAGGGGCAACACCTTCAAGTTTAACTAGTCACAATGTACAACAGTCAACATGAGATACTTTCTTTACTTATAGGGTAATAAACCAATGGAAAGTGTTGCCACTAAAGCCATAAATGCCAAAACAGTGGAGCATTTTTTATACAGCTGGAAAAGAAAAGTCAGTAATAATAGAGGGAAACTTTTCACAATGCATCAGAAGTTTCTGTTCCCATCAACATTACTAAACATGGTAGCTATCAGGTAACTTTGAGTATACCGGTATAACTTTGAGTATACTGGGGAGCCGGTCGGCCGAGCGGACAGCACGCTGAATTTGTGATCCTGTGGTCCTGGGTTCGATCCCAGGCGCCGGCGAGAAACAATGGGCAGAGTTTCTTTTACCCTATGCCCCTGTTACCTAGCAGTAAAATAGGTACCTGGGTGTTAGTCAGCTGTCACGGGCTGCTTCCTGGGGGTGGAGGCCTGGTCGAGGACCGGGCTGCGGGGACACAAAAAAGCCCCGAAATCATCTCAAGATAACCTCAAGAGACTGTGTTCATGTATTTTACCGAATGTTGGTGCGTCTTATTCACGCATTTATAACTACAGTATTATTATTTTTTAAGTGTTAATTATATTACCAATGAAGTTTTTTTATTATTATTTTTTTAGGGGGACAAACTAATTTCTATAAGAATTTAAATTGCATATGCTTGCTGAAGAAGAACTCCTTTGTGCTTCTCAGGGCTTGCAATTGTCCCAGCTATAATGCAAATGGTGCTGTTGCCAGTATGTCCCGAGTCCCCTCGCTACCTGCTCATGTCCCGCCAGATGGAGGATGAAGCACGCAGAGGTTAGTGTATTTTTTTTACATATAACAAAACAATTGCTCTTTAGTTCATTAATAATTTAGCATTAGCACTTAGTTGCCTGCCATTAGTGTATTGTAAAGTTCATAATAAAAGCATGTGTTTGGTGCTCTATATACCTCAATCAAATAGATGGACTTGAATGTACAGAAATATGCACCCAAAACTTTATCAGTGAAAGTAAGGATGTTAAAGGAAGCTCTACCAAATTTAAAGAATGAAAGACTGAAGCAGAGCTGGAAAAAGTGTCATAGCAATCGTATACAAAAAGATTGTGTTGGCTATGATTTTTCACCCATCTGAGAAAAATCGGATAAAGATGTGTCAGGACAGAGAATGCTGAAAACATCGAAGCCTGCTTGAACCTGCATCCCTGAACTCCCCAGGGATTTTTTGTGATTTTATTGTTCAAAACAAAGTGGCCAAGTAAAATGTAGCTTGGAGAGTCCGTCATGCCACGTGAACCGTCAGGGACAAGAGGCATAAAAGGACTAAATAAGAATCGTCATCACTTTCTCCTCAAACAGGTGCTGGTAAAAATGCTGTAGAAACTCCATATGCATTGATCAGCAAAGAACCTGAAAGTGTTTGTTTCATTTTGTAATGAAAGCTTCACAGTCGACTCAGATTCTACAGCTTATACCAATTGAAGGCATAAAATATCACCTAATGGCAGTTAAGTATGTGAAGACACCATATTTTAACATCATCCAAACCATCATCCAAAAAGGGCCATAAACTTATTCCTGCTTTTAAGGAAAGGACATGCTGCCAGACAAAGATTGCTCCCAGGCAAGTATTACAGCAAGTGAAACAACGTTAATCCAAGTGGTGTAGCTCTTGTAGTTGGGTGGAGGGGAATGTGAATCTTCCTGCGTCAACAAACCAATGTGATGTGCCATCATGGCTGTGTCTGAATCCCTCACTAGAGAGAACTTTGCCAGTTTATACGAGTAGGACCCATCACGTGATTTTAATGTTCGGTAGGATAACCAGTAGTTTATGGAACTATGGGAGAAAAGTGTGGAAAAAAAGAAATCAACATTCTAGAAGTAGAAGTTTTAATGGTAACATAAGGTAAGAGAAGATATTTATTTGTCAAGCAAAGATAATTGTAGAACTGCAAAATGTAGCCCATTGAAGAAGAAACCATAACAACAAGAACAATAATAATTAAAAATCAATGTTCAGCATCTACAATTTAAGATAAACAAATACTTCAAGCCGACACACAAATGAAAATGACAACAAAATGTTTGTTAGTCCTAGACCCTTGTATGTGATAATGTTTATCTGTCCTGGACCCTTATAAAGTTGAAAGTGAGTGAAGCAGGGTTTAAACTGATAAGGATTCAGGGACAGGTCATAATGGTATCGTTTTCATTTTCATGCGTGGGCGAGTTATTTGTTTTCGGCCATGTTGTTGTGGCTTATCCTCTGCATAAAGTAAGCTTTCTCAAGACTGAAATTGTAAGCCTGAAATCTGATGACACTAACCAGAAGAAATGCTTCCAAAATACATAAACAAAATAAAATCCCTAAAGGTCAAATAGTATCTTAGGATTATGTAAACATACTATGGGAGGAAGATGGGAAAACTTCATTATCATTGTGTGGGAACTACAGTACAGAACTACAGAATTAGTTGTCACAACAATAATAATAATAATAAATGTTTATTGAGGTACCCATTCCCTGGGAGGGAATGGGTAAGTTTTAAATGGATTTTAAGTCAATTCATGAGATACAAATGCACTTACTTCCTTTGTGCTACCCACTTAAACACCTTCACTATATGCACCCACCTTCTTCCTTACCATCATCTTCCTCCCTCAAATTCAATTGAATACTCATCATGTCTACAGTCATTCATGCGTTCATCATCCACAAATCATTTTAGTAAGTTCTCTGAAATCTTGCATTTTATTTCCTTTTACACTCCACTTCTTGCCGTGATATTTTCTTTCCATATTCTATTCTCCAAAGATCACACACAGTTCTCAAATTGTTAATTTTTATTGATCTAACTCTGATTTTTCCTGATCATAACACCCAATAGTCGAGCAACCATATGTTAAGAGTTGACACAACCACAATTCCTTGATGCAAATGTGTGTGGCTGCATCAGTTTATATCCTGTTTTTCCTTAGCAAAACTTTTATTGTGCTAGCCACTTTCCTTTCTTTACTGATCCTATTCTAAACAAGAGTCCTCTTTTGTGAAGAGAGTGGAATAAATTAAAGGATAAAGAAACGTATGCCAAGACCATCAAATGCTTCAAAATGATATGCGACAGACTATAGGGAAGATGGGGATGCAACGAGTATAGCCCTCATCTCATAACAATCCTTGGGTATGTAACACCCTCCCCTAACTCAGACTCACTTACACACACACAAAAAATCAATAAACTGGAAAAGGTGCAAAGGCATGCTACAAAATGGCTTCCAGAACTGAAAAAGAAGAGTTACAAGGAGAGGCTAGAATCGTTAAGTGTGCCAAAGCTAAAAGATAGAAGAAAAATAAGTCATATGATCACCACTTACAAAATAATAACAGGAATTCCTGCCACCTCAAGAACAAGAGGTCATAGATTCAAACTAAGGAAACAAAGATGCGGAAAAAATCATAGAAAGTTTTCTTTACAATCAGAGTGGTAGACGGTTGGAACAAATTAAGTGAGAAAGTTGTGGAGAGCACAAACGTCAGTAGCTTCAAAGCGTTATTTGACAGAGCACTGGGAAAACTGGACACCACGGCTCTCATCCTGTACCTATACTTGTGTAATTACCTAAGTATAATTCTTGGGCATGAAGGATCACATGAGAGGGGACTTTGTTTGGTCATTTACAATACATATCACTCGCAAGACAGGGGTGGGGATGCACGAGGCATGTTTGATGTACACGTACACACAAGCAGGTCGGAGAAATTATTTATAAGTATGTAAAATGTTTGAGTCCTCGTGCATGATGACTGATACCAAATAGTATATTGCCTTGTAGTACCAGTATTTTAATAAATCAATTTAATTGATTAATCAATTTATTTTAATCAATTGATTAATCCATTTATTTTAATCAATTGATTAATCAATTCATTTTATCAATTGATTGTTGTGGTGTATGAAAAGATTGCATGTAATAAAGTTCATGTAAGTGAAGTGAGGACGAGTGTGAAGTGAAGGGGACATATCTTGTGGTTATCATGTGGTAGCTCCGAGGATCAATGTCATGGCCCAGTCTCTGACCAGGCCTCCTGGTTGGTGGTTTAGTCAACCAGGCTGTTAGACACAGCTGCTCGCAGCCTGATGTATGAATCACAGCCCAGTTGATCAGGTATTCTTTGGAGGGGTTTATCGTGTTCTCTTGAACACCGTAAGAAGTCGGCCAGTTGTGCCCCTTATGTTTAGAGGGAGCTAGTAAGGATTGAAAGAGGTAGGGGGGGCTAGTGTGTAGTGGAAGGGGTGGGAAAAGTAAGCAAGTGAGGAGTTGGGGGGTGGGGGCAGTGTGGAAAAAGTAATCAACATTCTAGAAGTAGAAGTTTTAATGGTAACATAAGGTAAGAGAAGATATTTATTTTATAAACAAAAACTCTCTGATTTAGGAACACGTTGAAGAGCTTTCTTACTATCTTGGTAAACAGCTAAACAGGTAGATGTAGATAGATCAATGGACAGATGAACATATAAATAGATTGGTAGTCTAGTGGGTCTTTCTTTCAGAAAAGTTTATCATGGGAAAATGAGTATTATTTTTGTCATGCAGTTTCCTTTGTTGTCGGTCTGGGAACTCATACATTGATGATTCTTATAGCAATATGATATCTTACTTTTGACTCTATAGCCCTACGAAGACTACGGGCATCAACCCACGTAGAGGAGGACATAGAAGAGATGAGGGCTGAAGAAGCAGCCAGCCAATCAGAGGCTCACATGACTATGTTTCAGCTGGTGCGGTCGTCAACATTACGCATGCCTCTAACTATCGGTGTTGTTATGCAACTCTCTCAACAACTGTCTGGCATTAATGCGGTGAGTAGGCAAATATATCATTATTTATTCTTAAGTTAGGTAATGGTAATGGATGATACCTGTATTGCTAATGATGTAAGACTGAGTATTCATTAAAAGTGAAATTTTCTCTAGCCTCAGTTGATTAAGAAGGGGTTTAGAATATATTCAAATACTTTTCTTTGTAGACATGTTATATTATCAAATAAAGTGACTTGAATAAATTGTAAGAAATGGACAAGATCATAAAACAAGTCTCATGAATTAACCAGTGGGTAAAATTTTAAAGAAACACATACATGTTTCTCCAAAATAATGTCATACTGTATTACAATAAACATGTCAAAAGGTAGAGGACAAAAATGTGGACAAAATTGCATTATGAAGCAGAGAGATGAATTGTTGAGCTTCCTTTTGGAAAATGAACTTCTGTAGGTTTCTTAAATTCTGTAGAAGCTGGTGCCTACAACTTGTCAGCTGTATAAGGAAACTACAAAAGTTTATTTGAGCCGAGCATTTGCTCTTCGTACACTTTCTGTTCCGTGGTACAATTTTGTAGCATTTTGGTCATTTACTGTCAGCAAGAACTTTATCTAAATGATAGTTTTCAATACTTGAACATTGCCAGTTGGTAAGTGTTTAACTTATATTTGTAATATATTGTACAGTGGCAGACATGTTTGAGTGATTTGTTTCTGTTGGTTATCTAATTTATTCTCATGCTCTACATGATTTTTTTAACTAAACGTACTGTAATTGTCCAGACAGTATGTAGGCCTGCATGGGGGTTTCTGTTCCATGCATGGATTTTAAGTCAATTCATGAGATACTGTAATTACAGTTAGTCATAGGCAGTAAGTAGGATAAGTAATGCTTTATTCCTGTATATAGTTTAGTTGCTATACACAAAATAACATTAACATAACAAATAATACGCAAGATTAGCATACTATACGGTCAACATGCTTTTATGAAAAGTAAGATTTTTTCCAAATTAAGTTTGATGAAGTGTTAAAGAAATTTATATCAGGGACTTCTGTTTATTTAGTCACATTAACATCTGCAAACAAGCACACATACATACATATACATACATACACACAGTATATAAATATGGTTCACCTTATGGCTTTCCTTGGTTGGACAGGAAACTTGGTAGGCTTATTCAGGTCTTCCCTAGGCTAATTATTGACCTTCCCCAGGATGAAAAATCTCAACAGTTGCTTATTTCTCGAGTATATTTCTTAATTAGGATTAAGGACTTGCCCGAAACGCTATGCGTGCTATACAAGAATGTAAGAACTCTTGTATATATAAATAAATATAAATTAAAAAAAAAAGGTACCTCTTTACTGCTAGGTGAACAGAGCATCAGGTGAATGGAAACATTCCCAACCATCTCTGTCCTGTTCAGGGAGTGAACCCAGGCTCCTTGATTGAGTTGATGTAATGCAGTGATCAGCTGAAAACTGAAAGGTCCCGGGTTTGATTTCCACTACAGTACCAAGACATTTGGGCACATTTCCTTTCACCTGATGGTGTTGTTCATGTACCAATAAATAGGTGCCCAGGAGTTAGGCAAATATTATGGGTTGCATCTTGAGGAAGGTCAGTAGCTGGCCTAGCGGGACTGTGATAAGCCTTCCAGGCTTACTCTCTGACAGTTGGAAATCTCGGTGCAATCTCAATTCAGCAAACTACACTTTAGCAAGACTTTGATTACATCACACACATTTTGATCCAAATGTATTTGGATCCAAATTTGCACACTGTATTCACTGAACTGTTGTATAGTGAAGCTCGGTATACATGGATTTGTGATGAAGTATGTAGGCCGCACCCCACCAATCTGTTACTTCAAAAGTTTCAAACTAAAAAAGCCTTTCTAAAACAAGTGAAAGTACTGTATTGCAAATTACCCTAAAAATATTATCAGACAATCTGACTCAAAATATATATGATGTACAGTACAGGGGAACCTCAATGAATGCAGTGCATTAGAAGTTTCTAATTGACTGCCATAGTTAAAACCAAAATAGGTTCCAGTCCTAAAAATTTTTATTCTTCATACCAACTTTTTTTTTTAAATCACAAGTAAAGCAGTATTTCTCTCATTAATAAACAGGCAGTAATAAAACATGTATATTAGTGACACTGTAGAGTACTGTACTTTAACATACACACAAAAACAAGTTCTAATATTAATACAGTACTGTATTTGTTAGAGAAAATATTAGCAGGGCTACCAACCTCTCAGCTGTGTCTTTATTTGACAAATCTTGTGGATTTCATTCATACTTCCCGCCCCTCACCACCTCGACTACTCACTCCCTCCTCTACTTCGCCTCCCTGCCCTCTCACACTCACTCTCTCCATTCCCTCCTACACACACACACACACACACACACACACTCTCCTCTTGTCACATTTACTCTTTCTGTTGATCACTCTCTTCCTTCCCTCCCTCACATTTAAGATATTTCAATATCTTAAGACAAAATTAGATATTTGTCTTTGTTGAGGAACATAAAAATTATGCTTTGCTCTGCAGTGGATTGGAAATTGTTTTTATTATTACAATTTATATTCTAAATATGTTCCATCACTTAATGAAAAAAAACAGCATTAAATATAATGAAATGTTTCTTTCTGAAGAGCTCCAATGACTCCCAGAAGCTGTCTCACCGAGATTGCTCCCAACTCCTAGATCACACAAGCAGTGGAGTTCTGTTTGGCATACTGGAAACCAGAGCCTGAACCTGGCCGCCTCATAAAGGAACAGAGCGAGTGACTGCTGCCCCACCAGGAAAGCATCTAGAAAGTCAGCAAACCAATACAGAGCACTGCTGGGTTCAAAGAGACTGAAGCCTCTAAACTGCCTAACAGATGTCCCAAGCAATGTAAACAAACAATTGATTCTTGAAACTGGTGCTAGCTCATTAGCACTAACCCACTGCCAATAGAGGGTGAGGGGAGGACTGGAGCTCATAGTGTCTTCCAGCCTAGAGCAGATATCAAGAATACACACACCAATTATTGGCAGGGGAGGTTAGTGCTAATGAGATAATGTTTGTTTTGATAGATTCAACCATTTGTTGACGTTGTTTACCGAGTTTGGGTGTTTCAAGGCTTCGATCTTTGAACCCAGCAGTGGTCTGTATTGGTTCGCTGACTTCCTGGACGCTTTCCCAGTGGGGCAGCAGAGTCACCCACTCTATTCCTCTGTGAAGAGGACCATGTTCTAGCGCTGCTTCTCTGGTAAGCCAAACACAACTCCTCGACTGATGTGATCTAGAAGATGGGAGTCGTCTCAGCGAGATAGCTTCGGGGAGTCACAAAGGGTTCTCTCAGAAAAAAATTGCACTCCACCTCACATTCCTGAAGACATCTCCAGTTGCAGTGAATCCATCCTCCAATGAATCTGGTTTGGTGCCATATGGTTTGTCAAATTGAGGTTGCACGGCATATTTAAATACTGTACTAGACTATAAATCCTACACATATACAAACATCCACAGTCATGCATATTGTATGTATTTAAGCATATACATAGAAACTTGAAAGTTTAATGAATTAATCTTAAGATTAATGAATCTTATAATTAGAAATAAGATGAGCATAGAAAACATGAGTGCAGTAGTAACCTAATACTGCAGACCTTACCATAGGCTCATTTAACAAACTCTACATTTACTTTATATGTACATTATACTGTTGTCCCTGTTTTCTTTAAGCTTGTGCATTCTTAAAGACAATTTAAGATTAATGTGGCGTGCCGAGTAATGGTGCGACTCGTGTACATCTGTTGTAAACTGCTCCTTTGCTCCGTCAAATTCTAAACATGTCATTGCTTGTGCGGAACTTTGAGTAAATGACCCATACAGTCATTTTGTAACGTGAAATAATGTAGCATCTCATAATTGCTCATGTAATGCAGTTCTGCAGTTTTCTTGTATCTATGAAATGTTGTAGGCACCAACATTTCCAAGACAAAAGGGCACTGGAAAACTCGACTTTTTCTGGGCAACTATTTTGCAAGCATTACATGTTCCATCTTAATGATGTTCAGCATTGATTAACCAGTGTTATGGTGTACACCATGTTTGGTTATAAGGTCATTTACACAGCTTTCCTTTAACAAATGAAGAAACAGGTTTAGATTCCACTTTTAGATTCAGTGACAGCTCCTAACATACATGTTAATTGCACTTACAACATATGGATATACATTGTTAGTATATATATGATAAAATTCCACATAATGCAACTAAATTTAAACATTATCAAAACTATTTGCAGTGTATACATATATAGATACCGGTATATATATATAATTTTTTCTTTTTTTTTTTTTTTTTGCATTTTGTAAACAGCAGATTTTAAAATGATTTTTAGTGAAGAATGTAAAAGTAAATGTCTTCACTGAATGGACATGCTACAATCCTGTATATGCAGGATGCAAATTAAAGGATTTGACAAATTAAGAATGATTACACAGCCTATGTGAAAGAAATATCTTTAAACAGATTACAAATTAGTAATAATAAATTTAAAAATACAGTACGGGAGCTATTTGGATTTGTAACTGAAGCTTGAAAATTCTTTAAAAAGTGCTTAAGAGAATGTCACAGCAAGCCAGCCAGCTACTAGCTTTTTGGATTTTGATCTCGGCTATAACAAAGCTATGAGCTATATTGATATCATTTAAAGCTATTTATGTTGATAGTAAAGTTATATTTGATACTTTAAAGCAGATACACTCTCATGCAGCAAAAAGGGAGGTATGCTTCATGAATTATATTCCATTGCTTTGAAAATATTTACGTAGACAAATGTTCGTAAAGCGAACACGAGTTATTTGCAATTTGCAAGTACAATTCCCAGTATTTGTTTAAATTTTGTGCATACAAAATTCATTGTGGTACATTTCTCATGGGGTATTTTATGCAATATTAATTCTGACTTCTTCATGTATAATGTTCATACAGTATATTTGTCATTAATGTCATTAGTGTCATTATTTTGAAATATCATTGACGAAGTGACAATTAATATAGCAATTTTATGCATAGAACTCGAGCATTCCTTTATGAATGAAGATGATCAAAGTTTTGCAAAAGTGCTGGAGCTCATATTTTTCTGGTGATAAGTGCCTTCACAGTAGGACACAAGTGTTATTTGAAGAGGTATTAAGTATGTTCAAAGATACATGATGCACTTGAATGCTGGTCTGAAGGGTAAATCATCAAAAGTAGATGTAAGGGAGATCTAATCGCCTGTGGCTGTACACGTGTGCCCCGTACCACTGCCTCCGGTAGCTACTGGCTTCAATTAAATGTGGATGTGTGCGTGTTTTCTTGTTGCTTTATTTTTTATTATGATTTATTTTGAGTGTCACATACCTAAGAAGTACTCTTACTTCTGTTTTGTGTATGCACTTGTGCATGCATGTTTTTCTGTCTTTGTGTATATGTGTATGTATGTAATACACTAAGTTTGTGTGTGTGTGCATCATAATGTTTGTGCGTGCATCATTATTTATGTGCGGGCATCATAATGTATGTGCGGGCATCATAATGTATGTGCGGGCATCTTAATGTATGTGCGTACATCGTAATGTATGTGCGTACA